CTTGCCAGGGAAGCACTTATTCTACTGAGCCGTCTCCCCGGCCCCTCATTTACTCTTAAGAGTCTGTATATAATGAAAGTCACAGACCTCCTTCTCAGAAAAATGCACTGCGACTTTCTTACAAAGACATAACTTCATATACTCATGTTAAGGTTCTGGCCATCCCCCAAGCCCACCCATGTTTCCCATTAAAGAAGCCCAGCCCTAGGATCAGGTCAAGCCCCCTGGACATCTTCTCTACAGCCGTGGAAGGCCAGCGCAGGCAACTCCATTTTCCAGATGTGGAAAGGCGGCTCCTGCAGATTCCCTAATCTGCCAGGTTCCTCACAGCGGGTGAGAGGCAATCGGGACTCTGGCCAGCATGGAGATGCCCAGAGCATCGTCCTGCAAGGGAACCCTCCAGCAGGCCGCGTGGCTGAGGGGCTCACAGACACCCAGGTCTGAGTAAGTGTGCGTTCGGGGACCGGCCTCCTGCACCCAGGCCTGGCCTGACTGGTCCCTGTCATCTGCCCTTCTGATGCAGGCAATACTGCTGTTATTTCTACAGATGCAAGAAAATGAGCTTGTGACACTAAGGGACAGGCCTTGGGCCTCACACCTGCCTCAGGGGAGCACACTCCAGGACCCCCGCCCCCACCCAAATGTGCCTGGACTTCGCCCCGCCACTCCCGACTGACCCGCCAGCAGGGGAGGGGCAGAGTCCAGCTCTGTCCTCCATGCAGCCCCTCACCTACCACCGTTGTGCCCGCGCCCTGGATGACAGGCCTCCTCGGGCCTCCTCCCGGCGCTCAGGACCCCTCTCTGCCTGAAAGCCCAATGGGGACCCAGAAAGAACAGACAAAGTGCGAAGAGGCCTCTGGGGATTCCTGAGGTCAGAGAGAGGCAGAGGAGGGAAGAGAATAGCCGGAGGTGCCAGAGGAGGGCAGGGGACAGAGGTGGGAGCTGGGGTGCTCGGGTGCGGGGAGAAGTGTCTTTCACCTTCAGCGTCCATGGCGACTGGGAGCGGCTGTCCAGTGTGTCCCTGCTCAGCGTCCCGAGGCCCGGGGTGGGGGTGGGGCTGCCGCAGGAAGGCGGGGCGAGGGTCAGCTCCTCCCGCCCACGTCCCAGCGGGTCCCCCCGTGTGGCCCGGGCACGCCCCCCACCCGCAGAGTCCCGGCCTCCCCCAGGCTGCGCAGCCCTGAAAGCGAGAAGGCGCTCCCTGTGAAGCCCGAAAGCCTTTTCGACGGTGAACTGGGAAGATCGGGCTGCTGCTGGCGCAGAGAAACTCCACAGATCCCACTCCTGTCTTCGTCCCTCTTCTGGGGTGCTCTGCTTTCCGTGGATTGTCCAAAATTCACGAGTTGGAAATTTAGTTCCCAAATTCATGGGTTTAAAAAACTGCGAAAGAGCCTGGCATGTAGCTCAGCGGCGTGCACCCCTGTCTTGCAAGCGCAAGGTCCCGAGTTCGAGCGCAAGACGGCCCCAGCCAGGCGCCACAGCGACGGGCTTCGCGGTGCGCTGCCGGCTCAGGGCCCCTTAGGGCCCGGCGGTGGGCTTCTGAATTAGAAAAACCTGGGAAACTCAATAACCTGAGGGGTCTTCAGGCACGTTCGGGGTAAGCCCCGGCACGCACGATCTGCAGAGCTTCGTGGGAAACGCTTCTGCTCGCGGGAAAGGTGGCCAAACCCTGGGCATCGCCCCAGTCCTCTCCGCTGGCTTTCTTTGCAGCCCTGCACAAGAGCCAGGGAGAGGACCGCGCAGCACCCAGGACTCAAAACAGAGGCCCGCTTTTCATCCAAACCCCTTAAGTGTTCACTGAGGCCTGGGCCTAGCTCCTTTTTTTTTTTTTTTCTTTTGAAACTGGGTTTCATTATGCAGCCCAGGCTGGCCTCGAACTTGCAGTGACCCTTCTGCCTCAGCCTCAGCCTTGGGAGTGCTCCCTACACTGGGGTTGGTACCAGGGATTGAACTCAGGATCTTGCGCTTCCTAGGCAGGCATTTATGCCACTTGCTATCTCCCCAGCCCTGATTTATCTTTTAGAGTCTCTTTCTGGGTCTCTTGCAGGCCCTTTTTCCTACACCACCCCCAAATGCTGGCATATCCTCCAGGCAGGAGGCGCGGCTTCTCTTTCCCACTTAGACATCCAGATAAACTACGTTTCCCAAGCTCCTTTGCGCCGAGGCAGCCAGACAACCGAATTCCTAATGGTGCT